TTGAAAATCATTTGTGTTATTTCAGAATATAACTAAAGTGATTTTCATTAGGAGGAGTAAACCTCATAATTCAAATATGTTCTGTACCTAGTGCTCTGGTGCGAACTCATTCACGATAAATGTAACATGTTACCTTGTTTCAAAGAGATGAAGGTGGGAATAAAAACACAGTTGGGCTGTTCCGAGGGATAAAAAAGGTTTGCAAGCCACGTCTTTGAATTGTAGCGCGGAATTCAAGATAGTATGTTGGATCTTTTGGAAGGGTCGATGATCAATCAACGGTGAACATGTTTGTATACGATTAGGCAGAGGGATTATGAGAGAGAGAGAAGAACGAAACAATGTTGCCACACACCACTGTATCATTCACGAATGCGACAACTCAATGTTTTGGAGTAAAGAACCGGTTGACAAGGAATACTGACCCGATCTTGAATGTAGTACGAGAAGCAAATGAGGAAATGTCGGGAAGCCATGAAAAGGAAGAGTTGAGAGAAGGAAATTGTATTGTGTATAACGTTTTCATGCACTTGAGCTCACATTTCAGTTAAAAGATCATGCACGCCAACCATCGCGAAGTACATAATCAACGGGGAGAAGAAGTTTTACGGACATGGTGACATTTGATAATTCAAGGTTAAAACGAAGTCCACTAACTATCCTCTGTTTGTGAGTAAACGGGTAGGATACGGTATAGATAAATTTCGGTAAGCGTTAATTCGAAAGGGAATTTGGCGGAATTGGGGGCGTATTGAGTGATGGGAACGACAAAGTGTCAGTTCTGCATGCAATGGGTGGTCAGGATCTGTGAGAATCCTCTCGGCAAATTTCACACAGGAAGTTATGTGATCTTATGAAAACTTTACAGCTAACTAGTTCACAGGACTAGAAGAGACACAACTAATAATAGTGGGACCGCGGCGTAAGACTGAAATCCTCTTTGAGTGAGCCAGCAAAGATAAGATGAGGGAAACACGGATAAACATAGGTAGAAATAACGGACTGGGATGCACCAAATTGCCTGGTCTTTCGTATTTGAAATGATAGGCTCCGCAGTTTATCGATGCGGTTATGGATGTGGGTTGACCAACGAAGATTGCTATCTATGGTTACACCAAGATATTTGACAGAGTTCTCCCTAGATAAAGAATAATTATTAATTACTATATGGTCTATCAGATATGGAAAGCTAGCAAAAATATGTAAACACTGAACACATTTACTGGGGTTTAAGATAAGCCCTGATGAGGAGAAGAATGACTAAATTCGATCAAGATTGCCGTTAAAGGAGCTTAGACCAGAGTAAGAAGAAATGGGTTGGTACAACACGACATCATCTGCATATTTCAAAATTCGTGCGGGAGAAACACAGGGAATATCACAAGTATAAGTGGAAAATAATCATGAGGCTAGCACAGCTCCTGGAAAAACTCCGGAATTGTTAACGAAAGGTTTAGATGTAGCCTTCTCTAATCTAGTGGTTTGTCCTCTATCAGCAAAATCGTTGGACAGCCAAGCTAACAGTTGTTTGGGACATTCATATGATTCCATTTCTTGTAACAGCTTGGATCGAAGAATGGAATCCAATGCTGATGAGTAGTTGAGAAAAACACACCGAACAGACTTGACAGAGTTCTCCAAAGACTTAGTGATAAAATGAATAAGGGTGGAGACTGCGTCCAACGTGGATCTATTAGGTTGTAAGCAAACTGTAAGGGATCACTGTGATTGTTTATAGACTACTGAGGGCGTTTGAGGATGGCCTTTTCAGTCAATTTAAGAGCTGAAGATGTTAATGCTATGGGATGGAAACGTTTGAAGGGGATAGAAGATTTCGATGCCTTGGTGATTGGTGTGATTGTGACCGTCCTCCAACAGCCGTAGAAGTATGAAGAGATTCATTTACAATGGAGGTGATTGCCCCAACTAAGGAAGCAACACCAACTTTGAAGAGGGCTGGAGGTAAATCATCCAGACCTGCCGCAGAAGACGAATTGTAACTAGTTACAAGTTTTAACACATCATAATACGAGAATGGTTCCACATTACAAACACTGTAATGAGTAGGTCGGAAGAATGTCCGATGACTGGCGCAGAAATGCGGCATTGAGATCATCAACCTCCACATTCAGCTTCAACTGTGCTTTCTTCCTTCCACAGAGAAGTCTTATACCTTGCCACAGATGTTTGTTGTTTGCAGTCCTCAGAATTCGATCAGAGAATAATGCGTTAAATCTATTTACTTCAGCTTTGATAAGCCTGGACAAATACCTGACTGCTGAGGCGTTGTGAGACTTGTACGCACGTTCCTTTTGTCGTCGCAGCGACTTTAGTAGGGTTGAGTTTATCCTTCTTTTGGACACATGTAGGCTTTGAACCGGGGAGCAGTAATTATAAATGGCATTGATTGTTTGGGTTAATAGGGGGACACGCGAATAGAGAACAAGGAAATGATGAAAACCATGAAGAGGCCTGTCTGAGAGATTTACTGAGGAGAGAAACGCTTGTGGGCGAGAAGTTGTGAAAACCAAATCTGATGAATTCAGATTGAGAGACAGATTTGGGCGCACAGTGTGAATAAACTTCAGGTCGAACTAAGAATAAACTGTGGTCGCTGGAGGAAATGAGTGCTTTTAGTACTAAGGAAATAAGGGTTGGGTTGACATCCTCTAGTGTACTGTGATAGTATTCCCCTTCATTACGTCTTAAGGTCACATTGATTGAAACACACAATTAACTCACCGCCAGGTCCTGTGGGCACCCCATAAAACGCACCAAAGCAAATCTAGAGGTACTTATCTCCCATGAACTCATACCATGGTTAGTTTTTCTGTGCAGAGGATCAAAATACAGAAATCGTATTTGTCTGTAGGTAGTCTATTTTCTCACATGTCTGAGTTCATACATTTTCCCAACAAATCACAGTACAAAGATCTGTATAAACAAAAAAGTCCCATGATTTCTTTGCTGTTGGAATACTATAAGATAATCCAGGCGAAAGTAGGTGATTTTTTCTCGGGAATTCACATTTGGAGTTTTTGGCAATCCCAGACCTGATCCGCAATGCAGTGGGGTTGTTTGATAACCCCATTCCATTGGGGTCTNTGGGGTCTGGAGCATACTTCATTCGAGTATCCGTTTTTCAGATGGCGTCAAACGCTCAAGGTACCCAATAAACCTCGGTGTCCAATCGAGCCAGCGAATACTGCCACAACTAGGGATGTGTTTGTCTTTCGTACGCCTAGTTGGTTTGGAATCACTGTTGTAGCCAACTCCTCTAATTGAACTGCCTGATGTTCATTGACCTGGTTATAGCTCCAGATATTAGCTTTTCGTCCTCTCACTCTGATGGGAAACCACCTTCGTCAGAGAAAAGCGGTGAGTAGGACTTCCTCCTAGAGGCTACCTGAAACGCTATGTCGCATGGGGGTATTTCGCGAGATACAGGGGAGGGTGACCATGCACAACCTGAGACATCCATCCCCCGATCACACTTAGTGTTTTGGAGGTCTGCCGNCCGGTTTACCCAATGAGCTTTTTCTGTTCCTGAGTTATTTATTCAAGTCAAGTCAAAAATCGCTTTATTAATCCTAATGGATAGATTCTCAGCTTTATCGTCGCATACAGTCACGAAAAAGTGAGAAAAAAACAGCCTCGTTAATTCAAAGGAATGTGGAGTAAAAAGTTTGAAAATGAATATCAGTTGCGTAAGAATTTAAAAAAGTCTTCTCTAACGGATGCCTTTTGAGCCAGAAATCTCGGAATATAGGGGATGACGGACAAAAGATAGGCAGTGGTACGAGCATACACCAGTTTATGGTTGATGGTGCACGTGGGGTAGGCAACGTTTGAGATGCAAGCGCTACCCATGTGGTAATCATCTAGCGTTCCCATTGCAATGCGCAGTCCTACTTTGAACTGTGCCCTTACGTTCCATCAAGCTATTTCAACATTTGCATCAAAACAAAGCAATCATTATGGATGATTGTCTGGTGTTTGACTGGTAGGTTTGCTAAGGTTGTAGCCACTCGGCGTCACAAACCAGACCTCTGCAAACAACTAGTTTTTGTGGCTAGTCTTCCCTTGCCAAAATAGGGCTACCAGCTTGTCCCCGATCAATGAGTATGTCCTTCCGCCTCCTTTTCTCTGTCCAACCTAAGTGTGACTAGTGACCTTTGACCTTTCCATTGATTTCGCACAGTCAACTGATGAAATTTTTAATTGCATTTTGCTCTACTCTGAGAGCTTTGAGCACAGTCCCAGGCAGTTCTACATGGGTGTGATTTGTTCTAGTGGAGTGTGGATCTCTTGCTTTAGACCAACTTTGTATGCTGATTAATGTCATACAATGCTCACCGTGGGTTTTATTCAGTTACGTAGCTATTTATTCTGAGCTTACTTGCATTCGTGATGTGTGTTATATGGGTTTATTTTATCGTCTACAGTGGGGCTGTACACGTGTATCTGTCCTCCGATTAGCTGAGCGTCAATGACTCAGGCAACAGTATGGCCTATTAAGTTTTCAACTTCTGACCCCGTGCCAAACGGATCTGAATTGAATCACTTCAAGCGTGTTTCGTTACATACTGGCAACCTCTGTTTTGTTACTTAAGGGTGAGGTGTAAAACCTTTGGAATACCTATACTAGAACCGAAAGTTTTAGTTTCTTTCTTTTTTCATTTTATCTTCACTAAAGGGATAACAATACAATTTCCAGGTAGGAGGAAACGGTCAATCACTGGGTTGCCAAAAGAGGGAAAAACAGGCAGTAGTGGAGAGATTCGAACACACGTCCTCCGCAGCGATAATTTGGTGACGCTTACCTCTAGACCACCACCACCTACTTGAGGTTTTCTATACCTTGAATTTCTTAGCATGTATTTACTGAGAATAATAATCTTGTTGAGTGCAATTTTTTCATCCCATCTGCCGTTCTCACATGTCCATTCTCACTTACTCCCTTCTTTGTCCTATCCTGTTGCGTTACACTAATCCGGAAAATGCAGCTCAAAGATATGGCTCCACGGTCGTTTACGGACGAAACTGTGAGACGATTCTATCAGAAAGATGTACCGGTAAGTCATTTGTGGAATCTCTGGATTTTCTATCAAACGAATACCACGTATCATGTTTCTCTGTGAAAACTACTACATATTTGAGCGCTATGAATAAACTGGATTGCACACTGGAAAGTATATTTAGCAATGAATATGTTAGTATCCTAAGTTTCAAAATGCTTAGAAATACTTCTGTACTTATCAAATCATAATATTTTCATTCACCAGCTATCGATAGACAATTATCTACTTCCATCTACTTCTCTTTTCCGCACTTTAAATAAAGCGCATCAATAATTTGCTATAATTATCTTAGAACGTGCTACGTACAAAGTCGAGAATGACGAAAATCAGTAGTTTGAGCCAATTTTCACTTGGGCGGTGGTGGCCTGGTGGTAACGTCGCCAAATTACCACCTCGGGGGACGTCTGTTCGAACCCCACCAACATCGCCTGACTTTCCCCATGGTAGCCCTTTGATTGGCCGCTCCCCCCTTCCTGAAAAATGTATCATTGTGTATTCAATAAAAGGAAGTAAAAATTAAAAAAAATGAAGAATGCCACAAATTCCTTTTGTTTACCAAAACTCTTAGTAGGAATTGATTATTGTTGGGCTCCAGAAATTCCCTCGATTATCACTCTATTAGCTATGTATAGTCTTTCACCGCAACTGAAAATATCTTTTTTTTGTATTTGACGTCGAACAACGATCGTGAATATGTATCATCATACTCAATATTCTATCATTTATTTACTTTTCATCTCAGTCTGGTACTGTGAATGCATGGTCAATAGTTGTAAAAACCAAGCTAAAATTAATTGTGAATGCACGTAACAAATAAGCAGATGGAGAATACGATTTTTCTGAACATCGAGGCAAAAAGCAACGTGATTCATTTCATTTTCCTTACTGATTCTGAGCGTCGGGAATCCAGTTACTGACCCGAATTGTTAACACATTGTCAACAAATCTTCCATCCCATCCTCACTCATTTTCCTATTCCATCGATCAGGAGGTTCGAGCCCAGTACGACTGTTTGCATAAACTGGACGCGGGAAATTTAGCTGCTTGTGCCTATAAGGAATATTTACGTTTGAATCAGATCAATCCGGATTCCGACGATCTTAGCCCCGAGGAGAAACAACGAATCGCTTCCGATTTTCGCGCAGTCTTACAGGTAAGTAGTTTTGACTGTTTAAACTATGGTATCACTGACATTATTATTATGGCTGTTATCATCAGCAGCAGCAAGTTATTTATATGACCACTTCTATTATACCGACCTCCAGAATGAATAATCTCGACAAAACATTGGAAATTCCATTCACTTTTGATTAGAACCCAAATGAGGAAGCGTCTATATCTTTCGATGTGTTTGGCCACGGATAATACCATTTTTGAGAACCTACACCAGACATGCTTGGCGCGTTCTTATGTTGAGAACGAACACTAAATTTGGAGGCGGCTTGGAGTTCATTAAGTAAGCAACCACGGACAAACAGCAACAGCAGTAATTGAAGATGTGGTAGGTTATTGTTCGGCAAGCGTTCTTTCCCAAAAGTTGCGTCGGTAATCCAACAAGGGTTCTGAGAACGAGTGAATGTGACACCAACAATAAGGCCATTGT